AATTGTTATGTTTTTAATTAATTTTGTTTGTTGTAACTTTTCTTCTTTGTAGAAATAAAAGTTGATTCTTCTTTGAAGATTTCCCATTGTTGAATTCATATTTCTATTTAAATACTTATTTGTTGTTGTTTTATCTTCTTGATTTAATTCATTTTTAATTGAAATTTCATATTATTCCAATCTTTTTTTGTTCTTATCTTTTTAATTCTTTCTGATTCTATACTTTATTTATGTTCTTTAACTAATCAACACTTTTCTGATTTGTATCAAAAAGATATTAAGAATATCATTTTTAAAAGAATTTTATGAGATTAAAAATTAATATTTAAGTTTAAATATCCTTCATTTTATTCTTCTATTTAATAATCTAATTTTTCACATAAATTAGAATAATAATAATAATAATAATAGAAATATTAGTTACATTTAGTATATGAGATTATATAATTAAAGAAACTTTAGTCATATTGAATGGAATACTCACTATCTATTTTTAATTTAAATGATTTAGACATCATATCTGTAAATTATACTATTTTTTGATTGATTAAGATAAAATAGACAAGATCATTTATTCTATTCATGGAACAATACTTGTTTATATTTCATAAAATATTACAATTATCTGTTTATATTTCTTCTATCTTGAGATTTATTGTTTTTATTGAATTAGTTTGAAAGATAGAATAATGGATATTAATAACAATTATTCTAAGTCATAATTATCTTATTTCATCTAATTCAGTTACTATCTTCTCAGTATTTAACAATAAAATGAAATTAATTGTTTATTTGAATTAAAATAATATATTATTCTCTCCTTTCTTTATTTTATCAATTATTGTTTCATTTTGAGAAGATTTATTTTTGAAATTATTATTTTTGTTAATTGTTTGTTTTATGATTGTATTTCATTTCAATATAAATGTATTTTCATTAATTTATTTTGAACCAATTTACAATCAATGTAATTTATCATATTCTATTTAACATTAATAACACAAAAGATGATTATGATATTATTTAGAGAATAAATCCAATAAGTTGTGGTATTAGAATCTCAATTTAAGTGATTTTAGTTTAGATTCATTAATTCAAAATAAAAGTTATTTAACAAACAACTCTTTTATTTCTGCAATAAAGTAATAATATCATCTTATTTAAACATACATAATATTATTTAGAGATTTGAAATGGTGGTATGTCTTCAAAGATGAATATAAACTTAAAAAAAACAATTAAATGAATCATTAATTCAATATCATTTTGATATTTATTCAAATTCTAGAAGTAATTAATGAATAAAATAAAAGGGTAATGAATAAAACAGTATCTTAGTTATTTTTAACAAGTTAATTTTGTTTTGAATAGAAATTAGTTCAAAGATATAATTTTTAATTCAAATAAAATCAAGGAAATAGATTTTAAAGTCAATCATTCAATTAGTAAAAATCATTGTACCTCATCATCTTTATGTTGTTTTGATTTTAATAACTTTCTTTTTGTTTGTTTCTTTGAGAAACTCTTTCCTTTTATTCTAAAATCTGGAAGAGTTGCTTGTTTTCCAATAAAAATCTTTCTTTTATATTCATAAGGTACTTCACTAACTCCTTGTGCACCTTGAAGATCTAATTTTTGTTAAATAGAAAGAAATATAATTATAAAAAGAAAAAAAAAACAAACCAGTGTTAACAATAGTTGGATTTTCTAATCCAAAAGTATGTGCAATATCAATGAGATTTAATTTAGATAATTGAAAAATATTTCCAAATTTCAAAGTATTATAATTTTGAATAAATCTACGATATGCATCTCTTGCTTCTAAATGTACATAATATTGTTTACTTACAAGTTTTTTTAATTTTTCTTCAATATTAATTAATTCATTTATTTCAAATCCATATTGATGAACTTTTCTTTTTTCTTTAATTTTTTCTATAAATTCTTTAGATGAATTAGGAATCATTAATAACATTTCTTGTGCTCCTTTATATTCAACTTTATCAAGATCTTTAGGTATATCTACAAAAATACCCATATCAACTTTATTAATTATTCTTTCTTGTGTAGTAAAAACTACACAATATTCAATATTATTAATTTTTTCAATTATTTCTCTTTGTTCTTGAATTGACATTTTTGTATGTAATACAATTCCTTCACATATATTTAATCTACTCATAATATCTTGATAAAAAATAGCTTCTTCATTTGAAAAAAATTTTAAAACAATTTTCTTTTTTTTAGGATTTTTAGCAATTGTACAAATTATATCATTTTTTCTTTGTAATGGATATAATACATATCCAACTTCTTGTTCTTCTTTTTTTTCTTCTTCAAATTTATATTTAATTCCTTTTTTAATACTACTTTTAATAATATCTTCATCTATTTTTTTATTTGATTCTAATAAAACTTGACATTTTGGAAGTCTATTAAATACTTTAATATAATCTTTTCCAATTCCCATATCTTCATTTTTATTCATTGATGTACATCCTATAAATTCTAAATTTGGACATTTAAATTCTTCATTATTAACTATTTGATATAATATTGATCCTAATGTAGTTACAATAATTCCATCTTTTCTCATTACTCCTTTCTTTTCTTTATTCTTATTCTTAACTCCTGTCCAACAACTAACATTAATATTTACAAAATTTTTAATTATTTCCCTTGTACTAATTACTTCATTATAATCTCCACAAATAATAATAATAAATGGTCCTCCATTTTCTGTTTTTTCAATATCTTCTTCTTTAATATCTTTAAATGATTTAGATAAATAAATACTTCTTGCAATAACTGTTGAACTAATTCCTTTATGTGCTGGACATTCTACTATAATATTTTTTCCTTTATTTAATTCTGGAACAATTTCTTGTTGAATTTGATTGAATTGAGTAATACCCATTTCTTCTAATTCTTTTCCAATAACTTTTTTTATTTTTTCTTCAATATCATACATTTCATTATTTATTTTAATATTTCTTTCTTCAATTAATTCTTCTTTTTCAATAGCTTCTTTATCTCCACATTTATGAATTCGTTCTATGTTGTCTTTATTAGACATAACCCTGTTTTTTTTTCTTTTTTAGTTTTTTCTTTTTCTTCTTTTATATCTTATAAAAAGTATTTCTCTTAATAATTGGATCTATAAAAAAAAAAAAAATAATATATATTAATTGATAATATGTCTGAAGATGATTCTTCAATATTAATTAAAGATGATACATTATTTAATGATAAAAATACAGTAGATACAATATTAGGAACAAAAGCACTTATTACTACTATTTCAACAATTTCTTTTATAATATATATTTTTACATTTATTATATTATTAATAATTGATACATGGGTAATAATGTTATTAATGAAAATTATTGAATATATTTCAATTAAATATATTATTATTAATATTCCACTTATTATTTTATCATTATTTATATTTATTGAAATAGGATTTACAAAAGGAATAATTGGAAGAATAATGACAATAATTAAATGTTCAATTATAATTGGATTAATACCTATAATATCATTAAGATTAGATACAATATTAAAAGGAGATATAATTTATTATTTTATTCCTATATTTCTAATAGAAGGAATAAATATTATAATAAGAATTGAAACATTTTATTTAAATTATAAAGATATTCAAAAACATAAAGAAATTTTTGGATATAGTTGGAAATTAGGAATAATAATATTTTCAGATATAAGTAGAATTGGAGGAGAAATATTTATTATTTTAGGATTAACAGAAAATACAAAATTT